AATTTATTTCATTGGGTCCCATCATGTCTCAGCACACATACTTGCAACCTTATTAAAGCCAACATGTGTTCTTAAAAATGATTTGAATGTATCAAAGTAAATGAATAAAGCATCAAGTGTTTGTTTATTTCCCTGTTTTCCTCAGGCCTTTGAGAACCCTGGAGGACAAAGGGGTCAAACAAATATCTGATTTGCATTGTGCAGGAATACATCGCAAGCTGACAGCCTGGGAATTCAAAATCAGACTGAAGCTCTGGGGGTATTTATTCAGAATAACAGTTTGTTATAGAGTAATACATTCACTGGGAAGCGGTAGCTATCCAGCGGTGACTTCAGAGGCAGAAATGAGAAATCCAAGGATGGGGGGGGGTGCTAGTGGAGCACGCTCATCAACTTGGGTGCTAGTGGAGCACGCTCATGAACGTTTTCTTCTTCTTCAACTCGCTGCAGAGTTACTGCAGACCCTTCACACGATAGCAGAGCGAACAGGTACAAGAGGGGTAGTTCATCGATCGCAGATGGCGTCGTGCTCGCGGACGGATACAAAAAGATTACACCTAAAGGGGGCTCGAAATGTACTGTGGCGGACGTTAATATACCTGGGCGGCCCGCCCAAGTAAAGTCTATGTGTGGCAAACCCTGAACACATTTGTTCAGCAAGATTTCACCTTGTCATCAGACCAAAGTCAACTTCATTGTCAATCTTCCAGTTTGTTTGTACAGACAGAGAGACATCCCGAATATAAAAACAAATGTAAATACAAATATGTGTGAAAATATCTATATATATTTATAAACACAGAATCAAATACATCAGATGTTCTGTGTGTGTGTGTGTGTGTGTATGCGTGTGTGTGTGTGTGTGTGTGTGTGTGTGTGTGTGTGTGAATCACGGAGTGTACTGTGCATGTGTCAGAATGAAACGCACAAGGTCCGGCCGTGATGAATGAACAGTAATCCAGCCTGCAGTTTGCGGCTCATAAATGTAGCCTCCAGTGCAGAGAAGCCTGTATGATTCTCATTTCTCTGTGACAGGGCCGTGAATCTCCGCCAACTTTCCTTCTAGTGCACACTTTGTCTTCTGGACTTTTATCAGAGTGGATAACAACCAGTTAGCCAAAAAAAAAAACAACAGCGGCATGTGCCCCAAAAATGGAATCTGGATCATCCTTCCTATAGCGCGAATATTTATATACATCCAATGTGTTCTTTTTTGCCATCAACTTTTCTTTTTGATGTTTGCTCCTGTTTTGCTCACATTTTAACCCCTGGCATTCCCTTCTTTGGTTATTTCATAAATTCCTCTAGAATAATTGCAATTGGTGTTTTGCCGTGCATGAGGAGTCTCCATGTGACTCACTAGCAACAAACTCTGAATAACCAAAAAAAACTAGTTTGGACTAAATTATGTTCTTTCAGACAGACTTCTCTTTTAGATTTGTATTTAAAAATATACTCATTTGTTTCAAGGAGTTGTTACATGACGTGTTTATTTACTTTACTTGATGTGGCACAACATTTTTCACCCCACATTGGTTATAAAAGCACAATTACATTTAAAGGGAGAACAAAAACGCTCAAACCTCCACTAACACAGTCACAGTGCGGTCCACCATGGTAAACATTTTCTATTTTAATTGAGTCTGGGGCTCATTAAATTCCTCCATGTTTGGTGAAACATAGTGGTTCCCAAAGTAAGCATAACAAGTCACAGTAAAAGCAGCTCAAAGAAATGCTGATACATCTCTGTGGGACACAGTGTAAGGCGCCAAGAGGAAGTAAAATGTATACTACTAAATAACTACTTTTCAAAAACGGAAGACATTTTGTTCAACAGAATACCGCCCTTACTTCAAGTTAAGGTGCAATATGTATCTGCAAATCTGAACAACATTACGCTTTGTGACTTGTAAGGATATAACTTTAAGTATGAGGATCAACTGGTATTACAAGTCTGGTGATGCTAACCCAGCTTAACTAAGACTGGATGAGGAAACAGAAGTTTGCGTAAAGGCCTTTGCATGTCTGCCAAGCTGTTGTCAGGGCATGCATCTGCAGCAGACCGTGTCCAATCACTCAGACAGTTAGCTGGGCAGCACAGTAAGCAACTGCAGCTCAGACTATAGAGGTCTCTTTTTAATTCTACCCACTGCTCTCATATTCTCTAACCTCAACTTAACCAGAGTGGCTGGAGCAGGCAGGAGGAAGCTGATTCACCTCTGCTTCAACAGGCGTCCTTAATAAGAGATGGAAAATGTGCAAATTGCCTTTCTGTCACTGTCACAGTGGAAGGTATGAGGCAGCTCATGTTTGCTAGAGTAGTATGATATACTCATTCAGGAACCCTATGCATGGGCAACTGATTACAGCCACTACGACATGGCTACAGTTGTGTTAGCATAGCATACAGTGAGTAGAGGATCAAATGCTCAGAGAGAGAATTTGATGTAGATATGAAGGTACATTCCTGATGTGAGGCTGGCCTTTTGTTCAATCAGCAAGTTGAGAAAACTAAAGGTCAGGAATGTACCTGAATGTGTACATAAGAGGCGGGCCTTTTCAATCAGCAAGTTGTAAAACAAAGGCCTTATTGATAAGTCACAAAGGTACACGGATAGCAAACACAAGATAACAATATGTGATATTTAACACAAGCTTCTGAATCCAAATAACATTGAATCAAGGAAGACTCTGGATCTACAAAAATCATCCAAAGAATAGTTTTAATATTGTATTGTCTTGGAAAGCTGGTGCATAATGGTGTTATAAAATATAATGTGCAGGGCTTCTAATGGCTTACTTTCCTGAAATAAAGACATTCAAAATAGTTTTTAGGGGAAGTGTGCAGAAGCCCAATATCACAGAGCAACAGCCATTTCCAATTTTGACCAATAGGTAAACAGAAATAATGATAACTCTCGAAAAAGGTGAGAACACATCTTGATAAAGGGTTATCTTCTTAAAACCTTTGGAAATTAATGAATACAAATAACTTTGTTTCAAATGTTAATAACACACCACCAATACAAATTTGGCCTCAATTTTCAAATCTGCCTGTTGGTTTACAATCAAACTGTTTTCAAGGTTGACAGCTGTTATGAAAGTTTGCTAGTATCTAACAGGCTTTTTCTGGCCTTGTGTTTGTCCTTTTAATCTCATTCATAGCATCTCTTGTTAAGATATAAATCCAGACTTGAGCTAAGAAAAGTAATCCTTGGAGAAGATCCTTGCCAAATAAACTGGCTTTATCATTCTCACAATATGGCCTGTAAATTCACTTTCACTGCTGATAACAACAAAACATGGAAAACATCACCGTGGGATTTTGGTGGAGATTTTAACATTTACAGACTTAATAATGAATTTATAATGAATGTAATTGTTTGCAGAGCTATTTGATACATTGTTTGAATGGTATGCTACCTTAAGAGGTATGTGTACCAGCTCTAGATGAAGCTAAACTGCCTTCACTTGCTCCTTTTCATTACATTCCTGCTATCCTTCCGGTCAGGAAAGTTTGCTGAATTTGGACAACTATTCACCATCCAAAACTCACACATGCACACATACAAAAGCCATCAGTGAAAGCCTCCATTCAGCATATTTGCCTCATTTAAAAAAGAAGAGCTATTATTGTCTGCCAAATAGGGTCCGGTTTGGAGGGTCAGTTCTGATGATTTAATTCCACACATTCTGACACAGTTCCTAACGTTTTCCTCAACAACAAAAATCGAAGACGTACCTTGAATACCCTGACGCTGAAATTATTCAAACATCTATTCAGACTTCCCTATCCTGTTTGTGCAAAAATATTTTCTCCCCTGTTCGGACAAAAAGATTGGAAAACGTCTTTTACAAAGCGCAACTTAATCAATTCCACCAAAGAAAGATGACAACTGGAAATGGCCTATATCCACATTGTCACAAGGGAAAATATTAATAAATCATTATATGAATATACAAAATACTACAAATCAACATTTGCATGGATAAAGAATGCTAAAAACAAACAAAAAAGTGTCAAATCAGATAAGCAAAACAATGGCTTTGGCTGCCAATTCAAAAACGTTGGCATCATATTGACAGTTTCCTATACGTTTGTCATCTTTTTCCACACTGAAGAAAACAATAAGTTAATCAAGTTATGAAGTAAAATCAAATAGATACTAATTATCATGGTTTTTGTAATTACCAAAGAAAATGCCAAGTGTTTGCTCATTACAGCACCTTAATAGTGAGGATTTGCTGCTGTTTTATGTTTTACATCATTCAAATGTGACTATTTTTGGATTTTGGATTCTTGGTTGAAAACGTCAAGCTCAGGGGAGAACAGTTGCTCCTGGTTAACATCTTATAAAAGTTAGCCAACAGATTCCTTGACAATGGAAACAAATAATTAGTTCCAGCCTTACACGCAATAACAGTTGCCCTGACTTTAAACTGTTATGTTTTGCTCATTTGATGAATTTGTCTGGATCTACAAAATAGTGACAAAGAAGCAATGACCCAATGGCCATGTGAATACATAACCAAGTGTCCCCCCCACCCCTTTTGTTGCCCCCTAACTATGTGCTGACGCCTGTCAACCTGTGAACGCAGCACCCACCGCCTGCTTCACATTTTTTGACAACTTCCTGAATACCGTGTTATTGAAACTTTACTGTGACGCCCTGCTTTGCTGGGTTAGCTACGTGGCCCCCTTTAAATTCATCCTGTCCTCTGTAACTAATGACCTGCCATGCTTGCACAGTGCTACAAGAAGGTCCATTTTGGGAATCACATCACACACTCACAGTAGGGGAATGTAAATGTTGATGGTATTGGGGGGTGAACTGTTGAGGCAGGGGGAAGTACGCAGCGGTTCTTTGATACTGCTGCAGCGAACAAACACCGTAGCATTTGTAGGATTTCTGACGGTAGTTGTTACATGGTGAGACAAGCGACATATTGCGGATTAAGACCTCCCCGCTGCACCGAGCCACCCACGGCCGAGCTCCTACCTGTATCTGGGGGATGCCGCCCGGACCTTCCACTGTGTCGGGCGAGTTGTCGAACACTCGGTCCCGGTACAAAGACCACAGCCCGACGTTTGGGAGGAAAAGAAGAGCCGCTATGAGCAGTCCAGCGAACTGCAGCAGCCTCTTCTCCTTCCGCCTCATTACTCCGGGAGAAAGCTTGTGAAGTACCGGCGGTGGAAACTAGCAAGCCCCGAACCCCCAGCTTTTCCAAGCCGAGACAACTTTCACTCTGACTGGGGGACGGACACCGGCGCTGTGACGCTCCACGCACGGCTGCGACCTCGGCCGCTAGGGGGGGTACAGCTCTGCACATCAGCCAGCGGAGGGGGGGAAGCATGGGAGCTTTTTTATTTATTTATTGAACAATTATTTCAATACAATCAGAAAAAAGCACATATACATCAATGTTAATTACATTCATTCAAAAATGTGTTTATGCAACGGTGGCCCCTCTACAAGAAGAGTTTAATGATAATACAATTGTAGGTATTGTATTGTAACAAACCAAAGTTAACTGGAATGCATTTTGTTCTTCATAATGTAATTTAATAACATTTTATCTACTGAAACAACACTGTTACTTAAAGAAAAACAACAATGTATTTTAGGTTTTCTGTGTGATGAATGACTTCATACAAAACTAAAAATATTAAAATGTTGAACACTGTCTTTATCTCTTGTGTCCCACATGATGTGCCCCTCTCATAAAATAGAACATGGCCCCCCAGGTTGGAGTTCAGCCAACAAAAGATTGATGTTTTTAAAGTATTGTAACTTCTCCAAAAATATATTGCTTTTCCCACGTGTAATCACAGTTATTAGATTGCAATGTAAAGTTTAATAGCTTGAGAAACTATCATCATAAAGAAAGTTCTATGACCGGCTGACGAGTTGTGCTGCGTTCAAAAGCACCTCGGAAATAGGATTAAAGTTGTTTTCTGGCATAACGAGGACATAAGCCCTTTAATTAAGTGTGCTAAATCTACCCTGTAAAATGGCAAATTAATATAGTCAAGCATATGGAAACAACTTGATATTCATTATTTTATATCTCTTAAAAACAAGACATTGTTTTATTAATATGCATTGATAATTATGTCAGGGTGCCTATCATCACAGAATGTTACAACCAACTTTCTTTCTGTAAACCTATTGGATAGACTTTTCTGTCAACTAATCTGCTCAGTAATACGACTATCCTGAATCTTAATTTCCATTTAGAGTAGCCTAGATGGGGCAGATCCCATGTTCTGGAAATATTTGAGGTCACTGGCCGTTTCTCAATGTTGAGTAAAGCTGCTGCAGTGCCACTATTGCAAGCATACTACGTCATCGAGTGGCGCCGAATGCTGGGCATTTAAACCATGGATGTATAATAACAACCATAGTTCATTATCAACTAATTTAAACCATATATATATAAACACTAGGCTGAAGTCGAATAGTCCATTTAGCTTAGGAACCTTCCTAACGGAGTGAAATGACCCGGAAGTCCCTCAGTGGCAGCCATGATAAGTGTCGTTCGAATTCTCTAGAATGATAAGAAAGGAGGTTTCAAACTTCCGTTATAACCTCCTTTAGCTTAGGAACCACTGGACCTCCCTTACCGAAAGGAAAGGAGAAAATGCTGCCCCACAATGCCTTGCAGCCGCAGCATTTGCCGTCACACAACAGTCGGCCGTTCACGGAAACAAACGATTATGACGGAGAAGTTATATCATGAAAGTTAAGGTGCTTATTAAGCATTTTAAAACGTACAAGTTTGTTTTTAACGTTCATCAGTATTATAATCAAAAAGAGAAATATGAACATTAGTTTTTACTGAAATTATCAAATAAAGTCAACATTTCACTGAGCTGTGTGGGGTTTGTTCAACTTTTAAAAGATGTTTGAATGGTGATATAGCCTAGATGTTAAGGACTCACGTTTATAATAAATACATTTGTATTTATTTTAAGATATTTTCATACAATCATACGTATTGGGATCATTTGTATCAATGTGCACCGGAGGGAGAGGGTGACGAGCATACATTTCAATTACAACTTTCGTCATGAAGAATGTTTCATGTTGTCCACGTTCATAAAGCATAAAACAACAGCATCAGAGCACGGTGCAGAGTCTCTAGATGAGTTTACAGTAGTCCCTCGTTCTTATTAAA